AATTATCCTTTATTTTGAATCAAGTTATTTTGTTGTGATCTTTGTTTGTTTTTATCCCTCCAACATATATTTTAATGCCTAAATTCTCTTCTTGGTGATAACGTAGGTCTATGTGCCAATTTTAGACAGAGACCTATGGTGGACCACTGTCTTGATTACATCAGACTAGGGATAGTGTGTCCCTGTCTCAGAAGGAAGCCCATGTCAGAACACTGTGTACCTGTCTAAGGGAATGGACCAGTTGGTGAGAGAGTACCTCTGTTGGAGATAAAACAGCAATGGGAGGGGAGATTAATTTATGTCTCTCTCAAAAATGGACCCACCTAGAGAGTGGATGCCTGCCTAATGGAAGAAGGCATCTATGCGAAGACAGTGTGAGTCTAAGAGAAGGGGCCCACGTGGGGACAGTGTGGGGCTGTCTGACTGAACATGTCTCTGTGAGGACAGTGTGAGCCTGTACAACAAAGGGTCACATGTGAGAACACTGTGCCTGTCTGAGGGACAGAGTGTAGTTGGGGACACTGTGAGCCTGTCTGAGGGAACAGTGTGAACATGGTGCATAGAGTCCATGGACCACACCGGTGTTTCTCTTTGTGGGAATAGCATCGCAATCATAGAGACAACCGCATTCATTCTCCAGGATCTTCTGTTTCTCGAGAGAAATATCCTGTCACATAGGAAAGAGGTGGGGGAGAGTTTGCTGGTGACTGGGAAAGGTACACCTGTAAAGTGAGAAATTTACTTCCTCCTCCTGAAGCTGCATGATATTATGATGAATTAGAGCTGCAAAGAAACAAGCCACAAGTGTCCCTGGGAGAGTTGAGAACTAGGAGAGCAGAGGGAGACACAGACAGCCCCTAGCAGAGAGCGTCTCCTCTGCACCTGTCCTTGTGGTGGGTCCTCATTCACTGCGTCCTGAGCGCCACATGCAGCCTGGCCCCTGCAGAGGAGGTTTGCATCTGAGCTCCAGCTGAATCTGGATCACAGTGCCCTGGGCACAGTATTACTTGTCTGTGTCCTCAGCTGTCACTTGGTTCTTGCTTGTGTCCCTGGAGATGTTCACCCGAGACTCGAGATTGGGGCTGTAGTAGGTGCCTCCATTGGCCCAAATCTCACCGACCCACTCCAGCCCCTTTTGCTTTGTTAAGGTAGATCCACAACATGACATATTCAGAAATTGATAGTGTGGAAATGGCACAGGTGGACCTGAGTGTCTGTGAGGGGAACACTGTGCCCTCTCTCCATTGCACAATGTGTTCCATGGCTTGGACACCTGGGAACAGGGAACCACTGTGAGAAATGCAGACACATTGTTTCACTCATCATCTCTGTCTGTCACTCACAGGCCACTCACCATAGACGGTGGCCATCAGGCAGAGGAGGACTGGTGGGAACTCCCTGTGTGTATGGGCGACCATGTTTCTTGGCAAAGGCCCTGACCCAGAACAAGGAGGCAGATGGCACTCTTCACCCCAGCCTGGAGTTCTTCTTGAACCTGGTTTACTTGCAGGGCGGGAGCTGGGTTCAAGGTGGAGCAGTTCTATGAGAGAGAGGTCAGTGTCTCTGTGTCTTTTCTGCGGGGAGGATTCAGGAGAGGCCCCAGTCCTATTGAGTAGTGAAGGGAGTAGCTGAATACATGGAGATACTCTGTGAATAAGATAAGAACTTAATTGCTTTCCCCATGTGCCTCCAGGCTCTCCTCCTTTCCAAGTTTTCCTTAGAAGGTAAGTTGGAAGTTATTTAGAATATTGAGTTTTGCAGGAGGAGAAGGGATGAAGAGCATTGGGCAATATGATCTCTTTCTGTAACCATCAAAATGTGCAAGCAATGAAAGTGTAGATCATTAGAGACTCAGACACATGAAGAAACAGTGGCAGCTTCATCTCTTGTAGCCCAATGTATTCAGAGTAAATAAAGATGCACATAGACTTATTAGTTATCCTACATGTTATTTAAAAAAACACTGAAACCTTTAGAAGACATATTAATATAGAAAAATAAATATGTTCTCATCATGGGTCTACTGAAAAGGACAAAAGCTAAGTTTCCATTTGTTTGTTTTTTGCAACATGGAAGGTTGTTGTTGTTGTTAGGTGCCATTGACCAATTTGTGACTCCTAGGGACCCTATTCACAGCAGAACCAAACACCGCCTTATCCTGCGTCAGCTCCATGACCCTTGCTATACTTGAGCCCATCGTTGCAGGTACCATATCAAAAGCTCTCATTGAGGGTCTTCCCATCTTTTGTTGACCCTCCACCCTACCAAGCATGATGTCCTTCTCTAGGGAATGGCTCCTTCTGAGAACATGACCAAAGTAGGTGAGACAGTATCTCTTCCAAGGAGTATTTCGGCTGCACTTTCTCCAGGTCAGATCTCTTAGTTCTTCTAGCAGCTCATGGTACCGTCAATATTCTTAGCCAGCACCACAACTCAAAAACCTCAACTGTTCTTCAGTCTTCCTTATTCATTGTCCAGCTCTTACACGCACACAATCCAAGAAGAGTGAGATTCCAATCCCTGTGGAACTGCGCCTGCAGGCCATTGCTGCCTGTCCTGGTGTCCTTGACCCCAGGGCCTTCAAGAAGGGATGCAACTCAGAGAGATCTAATCAAGGTTGGAAACAGGGAACTCAAGCTCATGGCTGAAGGGAATTTTGCAATTATTTTTTTCCATATTTTCCTCTGTAGAGTGATTGTTTAAAAATATAATTTATTTTCAACACTGCTACTAGATTAAAAGAGTGAGAGAAAGAGAAATTGAGAATGAAACTTAAATAAACCATCACAAGCTATAAGGCATAGTGTCTCCAGGTTCTGAAGGCACAAGCTTAGAATTCCTCAAGCTCAGATGGAGGAAAAACCACAGCCCCTGACAGGAACTCCTCCCCACACACACATCTATTCCTGGGCCTTCTCTCTATGCCTGGTTAGTCCTGAGAGCCCCCTTCAGCCCTGTCCATTCTCTGGAGGGGACGTTTGTGTCTGGCCTCACACTGACTTTCCCTCACTGTGTCTCTCACATAGTAATACAGGGCTGTGTCTTCAGGTTTCAGCCCGCTCATTTGCAATGAAGCTGTGCTTTGGGAATCATATCTTGAGATGGTGAATCTGCCTTTCACAGAGGCAGCATACTTTGTGGTTTGACCGTTGGCTTTGTTTCTAATAAAACCAGGCGACTCCAGTCCCTGTCCTGGAAATTGGCAAACCCAGTCCATATAGTAGTCACTGAAGGTGAATCCAGAGCCCTCACAGGAGAGTCTCAGAGACCCCCCAGGCTGCCTCACATCTCCCCCAGACTCCACCAGCTGCACT